CAATTATGCTGAGTCAGGCTTGATTTTTAATAATCTTTTCCTGTTAAATAAATAAATCAAAAATCAAATCAAATCCTCTCTGTCAACACTCTCTGGTTTCATTTAAGAGAGTCAATCGTCAGACCTAGATTAACCTTCAGTGCGGATACAGTTCATGCACACCGATGACCTATCCTCGTCATCAGTTACCCAGAATGCTTTGCGTGCAAATAAAATGGCTCCGTCCGTGTTGAAATATATTTTAAAAATTTACAAAACTAAACATCCTACCGTATTTTTACAGTCTTTATTTTACTGTTAAAATATATGTTTATCAACTAAAGTCTAATGTTACAACTAATCTGGGATCCCTTTAAGCCCACAGGGTCTTAGAAGTACTATCTCCTAACATACATATCCTAACTCCTCCACCTCATCAGTTCATTTTTGGTCTCCATCCTACATTTCAGGTCCTCTGTGTTTCTCCTGAGGCTCTGCAACCTTTGCTTCCGCAGCAGCATTTTGTTTTTCCCTTTTATAATAAATAGTTGAAGTTATTTTTCTGCTTCTTAAATGATTTAACATGCTAGGTTCTGACCTACTGCTGACTGTGGCCTAAAGCTGAAAACACAACAACCACAGGTTGGCTTGGAAGTGGATGGAAACTTCAGAAAAAACGTGTGACCTGCAAAAAAATGGTTTGATGACAGATCTAAAACTGTATTAGTCCATAATGGCATTCATATCACCTACCATGTTGCATACCAAAGTTTTTAACAAATTGATGCAATGAGATAGACCCCAAAGCATGTGTTGAGAATGATCTCAACACCAMATTTTAACTCATGTTTAAAAATTACTTAGTTTTTGCGATTTCTGTATTTACTAAGGTCAYTTAGGAGCCATCTTGAATGGGATTAAAATTGAAGCTGCTGTAGATGATAATGATAACTTTCTTAGGGTTTCTTCATACTGCAAATGTCAAGCAAATTAACTTTTCTAAAGAATATTTCTCACAATGTCTGAGTCCCATTCATGYTGTTGAATGCCCTGAGTGAATATAAAGGCTGTCTTTCTCTCTTTTTTTTACTGTAGTTAAATCACTGAGCAACTTTTCACAGCTTTTTGAGTAAACAAAAGACTACTGTCTTTAGGTTCTTAGTGTCTATTGGGAAATATAAAAATTGATTAATGAGCCTCAATGAATGAATGAATGAAYCAGTTGGCACACAAACTCGTAATCACAGCAGAAAAGATGAATAGAAAACAAAATTACAGTAAATCCTGATATGTCTCAAACAAATCTGACACGTTGTGCATCTGTTTTTAAATTTGAACAATTGTTGTTGTTATTCTAATAAACCTAATTAAATCTAACCTTAATGAGCAACAATAGTTGTTGTTTCTCTTACCTCCTCCACCAGCTGGAGCATACGACGAGTGCTCTCCAGTGACTGTGGGGAAATAAAACAACAGGGTTAGAGTTGGTGTGGGACAACAGATGAGCTTTAAACGGTTTCAGAGGCTGAACACCATCATGAACTTGTAGCTCATTCATTTGAGCAGAAGTGAGCCAAGCCAGACAGATCAATCAACATGATGCAGAAATAATCATAATTATTATTATCATTTCAACACTGAGTATGTCCAACCTGAAAACTGCAAATGAAATGCTTACACAATATTGTAGATCTTGTTGTTCAATGATCTGTTAAAAAATGCTGCAACAGAAGGAAAAACGTATCTTGATGGGATTTATATGAGGATCTAAACTTCCTTTCTGTAAAAAAAAAGGCAGGTTTTAACCTGTCGTTAACTCCACCGTTCTGATTGGAGGATGTCTATTATTAGCTAGTGACAGATTTGAAACATCACATCGTAGAGTACAGCAGCAGGGACGTGATGTCCTTCTTTAATAGCTCAGCTTTGTTCTGCTGTGTGAACTGCGAGTGAGTCCAAACCGGTGGGGTTTGATAAAAGGGGGCCGAGTGAGCAGACATGTCACTGAGAAAATGATGTTAAATGAACATGTCTCAGCTTTCTGCTTCCTCAGTTTTGATTTTTAAAAATATTTTACCTATTTTCTCATTTCTGCTTTTAGTTAAAGTCAAATCCTTTTGATCTGACTTTCAAATGTAATGTTGTTGTGTCTGTATGGACAGATCTAAAAGCCCCTTTAAGTCAGAGGAAAATGCTGTTGTTCCGCCATTTTGTGCATGCCCTTGGTTTATTCCTGCATATGTGTGTGTTTAATATTCTGCTCAGCTGTGCAGCTCTGACTCACATGTGAAGCTTGAGGTTTTTTTTGAGATAAACTGCTCTGAGCCATGACACAGACATTTGCTTTCTGTCTGACACACACTTTCACAGAGTGCCAAACACACAGATGAGTTTCTACATAAAGTCAGAAAATGATGCAACAGAACATGCTGAGGACATTCTGTTTGTGTGCACTGTGACACAAAACGCACAAAAACACTCAGAGAGAGGTTGTGTCGAATGCATTGCAGTTGTGTTCTCGGTCACCTACGCACGTACTGGCCATATATATGCACCAACCTGCTCCACGTGAGCTTTTTTTTTTCTGAGCAGATTAAAGTACAACAGATTTTTTAATGGGATTCTGTGGAAGGGAGTAATTACTATCTTACCTGTTGTAGATAGGTTTTCTCATTGGAGAAATAGAATGAAATTCTGAGCAGACTGACCAGCTGACCAGTATCCAAAATCATTTTGACTTTGCATCATAGCTTATATAAACACCTTGAAATTGGCCTCTGTCTTTTTAAGAACCTCCTAATGTTTTCAGCGCTCCCACTTCAGCATGTCTTCACAACAATACTTTGGGGGGGAGGGGCGCTCTGTGGGCCGGGAGCTCGGCTGCAGACTGAGCTCCAGGGAGGAGCTAGGTACAAATAGGAGGTGCTTTGTACCAACAAGCATTTAGGCAGTTCCACATGTCTACCACAGGAGATTCAAGGGTTTCTCAAACCCGCACGAATGAGTCAAAACAACATTCTATGTTTTTGATGAGGGAATGACATTATAACATGACATAAATCTCAAAAAAGTTGATTTAGCATAATTCCCCCACTTTAAATTCTTTCAAAGTATTTCACAGCCTTTATATGTTTGTCGGTACATTTCGGATGTATCTGTGTCTCTGTCATTGTGCCCCAGGGTAGCTGTGGCTACATTGTAGCTTACCACCATCAGTGTGTGAACGTATGTATGAATGAATGAATGACTGAAGTGTAAAGCTCTTTGGAGTCACTGGACTWGATAAAGTACTATAAGTTCAGGCCATTTACCATTTAAGACAACAGTATCTAATTCAGGGGTCTGCAACCTGCGGCTCTGGGGCCAGATGTGGCCTTTGGTCCATCTGCAGTGACTCTTTGAAAATTTGACCAAACAYGACAGATTTTTTCRTTTGATTTTGTTTTTTATTCTCAGAACACTAATAAATTGTATGCAAATATGTGATCAAACTACTAATATAAAAAGTAAAACATTTTAGCTCATGCTAGCATGTTGTCTACCTAAATAATCCAACTTCTTTCTATGATTTTTCTCTCAAATCCATCAGGGTTATCTTTAAACACCTTTTGGACTACATAATAATAAGAATTAGGAAAAAAAAATGTCTGACTAATTCAGCTGTACTAGTTTTTATGAAATTCTGTATAAACTATAGCCAGTATTTTTCTAGTGTCATATGTTTTTTCTTCTTCAGTCCTGAAGTGTAAAATTCACAATATATTTTTTAGGTTCGTCACCTCCACTGGCCATAAAGTTTCACGAAAAGGYCTTGAAAAGGCCCACAAACCACCASTTGATAATTACAGTTGCAGCTTATTTTGCGGCTCTGGACACATTTTATTAGTGAGCTGAGGAGCAGAAATGGCTCTTTTGATTGTAAAGTTTGCAGACCCCTGATCTAACTGGTCCTGGTCCTGCTTGAACTAGCAGTTAGCTAACTTATTAGCTAATCTGTGCTGTGTATTTTTTTCAAACTAAGCAAACCTTGAGGGAAAGTGGTTATTTTTACAGATTTAAACTCTATTTAAGTAAACAAAAAACTGTTACCTCGAAAGCTTACGTTTAACTACCAAGGACAAAAACAGAAATTCTGTTTAAAATTACAATAACTCTTCTACGTTACTTTTGTTGGGGAATTCATTGTGTTCCATTCGTAAAAGATATATAAAAATAATTATATAATTTTCAGTTGTTTTAAAACAACAGTGATCTACTTTATCTTTTAGGCCAACTTGAATGAGCCATTAGCTCATTAGTTCTTTCATTTTATAACTACTTCACACTTAAAGAGCTATCTAGAACAGGTAAGATATTAGACGTTCAGAACTTTACCATTGAATCTAAATTCAAAAGATCCTAAAAACCCTTTTACAGTCTTCATGTTCACTCTCTATAATTATGATACATGTATGTTTGTCGTAATAAGCCAAACAGCTGTGAGGAAGTGAGTGTGATGTCCTCACCTCATCGGCCAGCTGGTCGGCACGTTGCTGCATGTCTGACAGCTCATTGCGCATGTCTGCATCATCTGCCATGGCTGCTGAGTGTGGGGGTGGAGAAGGTCTCCAAGAGGGAAGAGAAGATCCTAATGGGACTCARGGGGTGGGCTAAAAACAGGACATAACAAGAAACTTTTAAGTCACATCAATAAGCAAACATGTAAATCTGCTGATTAATTAGGACAAATTCATAAAAGTCATTAAAAGAAACATGAGGTGCTGCAGCAGGATTCTCTGTCAAATGTGGATCAAATGAGAAGCAAGCAGGTGACTGATGTTGGCAGAGGAACGCTAACATCAGACAGGGAGTGGGATTTTGGAGGATTAGCCACAGAGAGTTATAAGCCTGTTACTGCTGTAGCTGTGATCCTGTTTAYCTCTTTCTACATCATAACAGACACATATCACAAGACAGAAATGAACGTTTTAGCAGGTGTTCGGCCCGAAAAACGATCCTAAAACAACTTTTCATGCATCTGATGAATTTGATGTTGGCAGTCCAAAAAACACAGATTCATGTTACAATCTAAGTAACATTTAGCAAATTATTTAAACKCTTAAGAATCAAGCGGMCTTTTTTTTCTTAGTTTCTGGTAASATTTTAATGTGTACAAGTGAGAAATGTGAGCACTTAATTAAATCAATCAATGCTGCAATTCGATGAAGCCTGATAGCTTATTGCTTTGGGAYGCCATGGCTCCCATCTTTGCTTAAACATATTCAGCCCCACTGTCTTCTTTAATTGGATGAGTCTCAGTTATAATTTGGACTAACTGTCCAAAACAAACAGCTTTTTTCAACTGTAAAATCGATCATTTCTTGAATGCTACCCACCCAACATCACAAGTTTAATACAAACGTAAAMCAGACAGCCATCCACTGGTCACAGAGATAACACGTTCATAAAACCAATGAGAATCTCCAGCTCCTCCTGGGGCATCCCAAGGTGTTTACAGATCAGAGAAGATCCCTCCAGTGAATTTTGGGTCTCCTCCTATTGAGAAGAGATAAAATGGCGTACTAGTAAGATGTTCAAACCACCTCAACTAACTTCTTTCTACGTAGAGGAGCAGCAGCTCGAGTCAGAGTTATGGAGCCTGGACCTCCCTGTGTCCAGGATCTTGTTCTTTTGGTCACTATTGGAGAGGGTTGGAACTGACATGGACTACACATTGAGAGTTTTTATTTATTTATTTATTTTTTGCCTCAACTCCTTTTTCCACATTGCCAGACCAGAGTAATGTCCTTGGAACTTGCCGCTATCGCTAATGAACTAGATTAACATTTTCTTAACCTCCTGTGCTTTGAGGCAAAAAAAAAAACTTCCAAACCAGAGGAAACATTCAAATTTTCTCTGGTTATGAACCATGGCCTCTGAGTTGAAAAAAATGGACTTTCATCTCAACCAAACCTCCTGAAGGTCATGGTGGACATCACCTTAATGGGTTGGTGGTGGAACGGTTGAAGTACCCGAATAGTCCTTGGGTCTGTGTTGTTAGAGTCTCCAACGATAAACTGGCCGCAGGGGAGGGTTCAAATTAAAAACAGTTTAGATTAGATTAGATTAGATAGACCTTTATTGTCATCGTACAGAGCACAATGAAATTACAGTTCAGGGKTTGGATTTATAAAACTGGCGTACGCAAGTTTCTGGGCTCATATTGTGCGCCAAGGYTGTGATTTATAGAATCCAAACTTGACGTGAAAACGTGCGGTGCCTCACGCCAGCTCTKACCCATGCGTAYGCTCATTTTGRAGAYGGGAAACTGCGACACAGATGGTGAAGAGAGGAATTAGAGCCACACTGTGTAATGATCACTGTCAGATATTTAATTTACCTTCATCAGACTTAGATATTTATTCAACTTTATCATCAGCTTTCTTAACAGTAATATTTATGYKTCTGCTGCTGAGCCATGAGGACATTTGAAATAAAAAAACTTAAATCTTAAATAAAAGTTCCCGTGTGCAACTCCCTTCATCTGCTTCCTCCTCAGACGACCCTGACCCACAGACCCCTTCCTGACCCACAGACCCCTCCTCCCTGACCCACAGACCCCTCCTCCCTGACCCACAGACCCCTCTCTGACCCACACAGACCGCTCCCTGACCCACAGACCCCTCCTCCCTGACCCACAGACCCCTCCTCCCTGACCCAGAGACCCCTCCCTGACCCACACAGACCCCTCCCTGACCCACAGACCCCTCCTCCCTGACCCACAGACCCCTCCTCCCTGACCCACAGACCCCTCCCTGATAAAAACAGCAGGAC